AACTTGTTAAAGGAGTGATTCAAGCGATGAAACCAAGACGTGGTGCAGTTTCTTCTACGTCTACTAGTAATAGATTTTCCCCACTCCCTTCTGATGATTCAAGTGATGATGATGATATGGAAATAATTGACACTAAGGGGCACTCTTTGGATTATAGTAAAGGGGCAAAACCCACTTCAATTTCTCAATGATAAAGATTGTTGCGTGGAATATTAGGGGTCTAAATGCCCTAATAAAGCAAAAGGAGGTACGTGATCTTATTTATTTAAAGAATCTTTCTTTACGTTGTATCATTGAGTTCAAAGTTATACATAGTCATATGGGGGATGTGTGTGGTAAAGTGTTTGGAAATTGGAGTTGGATCTCGAATGGGAGTTTGTGTGATCAAGGGACTCGTATTATTATTGCTTGGGATCCGACAGTGTTGTCTGTTCTTATGATTGAGCAGCACCAACAATATGTCCATTGTGAGATTAGGATTTTTGGGCAACTTGATCCTATTTTTATTACTTTTGTCTATGGGTGTAATACGGGTGTGGATAGGCGTGAGCTTTGGCGGGTGTTTGGTGAATTCCATGTGTTTAATCAAAGGAAAGCATGGGTAGCGATGGGTGATTTTAATTCAATGCTTTTTCCCCATGATGGGTTAGGGGGTTCCTCTAGGAGAAATTCTGACATGGAGGAGTTTCATCTCTGTCTGGAAGAGGCGGAATTATTTGACATTTCGTATCAAGGATGCCAATTTACTTGGATACAGAAACCTTTGGGGGGAGATGGTGTTATGCGCAAACTTGATCGTATCCTGGGAAATTCTGCTTTTATCACTAGATTTGGGGATGCTTCGGTCTTCTTTGAACCGAGGGGGATTTCTGATCACTCTCCGGGTATTCTTTCTTTTAAAGTTGGTAGACGTCTTCGCCAGCGGGGCTTTAAGTTTGATAATTTTGTGACATCTCATAAGGATTTTCTTGCTTCTGTGGAGGAGGTGTGGACGAAACCGCAGAGAGGATCTTATATGAAGAGGGTGCTACGGAAATTGCAAGCTCTGAAGGTGGTTTGTCGGCGTCTTCGAAATTCGTATGGTTGTTTGGATAAAAGGGTAGCTCAGTTAAAAACGGAGCTTGATGTTGCCCAATTGGCTTGTGATCTAGACCCATTTAATGACTTGCTGAAGGAGGACATTGCTCACCTCTTGTTAGCGTATCAAAAAGCTAGAAATGATCWAGTGGAAATGGCTCGTCAAAAAGCGAAGATATCTTGGCTCAACGAAGGGGATGGCAACTCTAAATTCTTTTTTCATGCTATGAAAGAAAAGCACAATCGGAGCCATATTGCTACTATCAGGGATTCTTCTGGTACAGTTTATGATCATCAGGAGGTATCCACAGCATTCCTTTCCCATTTTCAAGGTATTCTCGGTACCTCTAATGTCTTGGTTCCTCCCTCTATGGGGGATTGTGTGTTTGGTCATTCTTTATCGTTATCGAATTCTCTACACTTAATCCGTCCTATTTCGGATATGGAGATAAAGGATGCTTTGTTTGCCATCGGGAATGATAAGGCCCCAGGCCCTGATGGGTATTCTTCTAAATTCTTTAAAGCAGCTTGGAATGTGGTTGGTAGGGATGTTCTCACTAGGATACATAATTTTTTCTATTCTGGAACTTTGGAGTATCAGCTGAACCATACWCTTCTTTGTCTTGTGCCAAAGGTTCCTAATGCTTCTTTTGTTACTGATTATCGGCCAATTGCATGTTGTAAAGTGTTGTTGAAGTGTATTAGTAAGGTTATTGCTGACCGGATGAAAGGATCGCTGGATGTTCTTGTTAGCAAGGCCCAATCTGCGTTCATTCCTGGGCRTCAAATCACTGATAATATCTTAATGGCGCATGAACTGGTCGCTGGATATCAGCGTTCTGAAGGGGAACCAAAATGTGCTTTTAAGATTGATATTCGTAAGGCTTATGACACAGTTGATTGGCAATTTCTTTTAGAGATGCTGAAAGGAATGGGTTTTCATCCAGTCATGATTAACTGGATAAAGACGCTGATCACTTCACCCTCTTATTCTGTTTGTGTTAATGGACAGCCGGAGGGTTTTTTTCATGGTAAACGGGGCCTTCGTCAAGGAGATCCTCTCTCCCCTTATTTGTTTACTATTGTTATGGAGGGTCTCTCGATGCTCCTACCGAAGTGTATTGAGGGGGAATGGGGGGTTGACCGGTTTGACTTTTTCTCTCTAGAGTTGTGTGTACGGCTAGGGTTTTTTGCATCGGATCTGCTGCTGCTGCTGTTTCGATCTTCTGTTTGTTTGCTGTTTCGTGGATCGATTGCTTTTCAAGGTTTTCTGGTTTGGTCGCTTTCGTTGGGGGCTTTCGTTGGCATCCGACCTTTGCGTTTTTGCCGGCGGTGGTTCTTTGGTTAGGTTTTGTTTCTGGTTCCGTCAGGATCTGCTGCTGTTGGTTTGTCGTTCTTATTTTGCTGTATCGCCTGTTTGGCAGCTTTCATTGGTCAGTTTTGACGGAAACGGCGGCTAGGGTTTTGACGTTGTCGGCGAGTTTGTGGGCGGCGGTTTCCTTTTCAGGTTTGCTTCCGTTTTGGTTTCGGTTTGTGCTGTTTTGTCTGCTGGTTTATTTGGTGCTGTTCTGTCGGTTTGGTCTTGGATCWTGGGTGTTTGGGCGAGCTGCCGGTGGTTTGTTGTATGTGGCTAGGGTTTGCATGGTTTTTGGGCTGTAGGGTTTGCATGCAAACGTGTTTTTTTAGGGGGCTGTTCTCTATTCGTTTGCTTGTTTTTGTTGCTGCTGTGTTTTCTCCTTTCTTCAGTGTGGTTTGCGGCTGGTATTGCTTGTGATTGGACTGCCGATTGCTTCTCTGGTTTCCGGTTTCTTTTAGACGGCTAGGGTTTGCATGTGGCTGTCTTCCCGTCGTGGTTATCTTGTCGGCTGTTTTCTTCAGATTGTGCTTTTCGTTGCTGTTCGGTTTTCCGTTTTGGGTGTTTGGTGGTGTTTTGGTGTCTTAATCTAGTTTATTATTCTCGCATCAAGTGTTTCTGTGGTCTTCGTCTCCTCTTGTTACGCTTCTTGATAAAGTATTCAGCACCTTTTTTTAAGGTCTTCGTCTACTTTATTGAGACTGCTTGACAGGGGATTCAGCACCACGGCTTCTTGATTAAGGGTCTGGTAAACTAGGTCTTTGGTCAGAATGCCGGACTTTGCGGATGTTATCTTAGAGAATGTTTCTTCTCGGGACTTTGCTGATGTTATTTTGGACGAAATTGATGCTTCTAATCCGATGAAGGTTGGAGTGTTTCCTGGTTCGTCTTCTAGGGTTTCGGTTTGGGATCGCCTCTTCCCAGTGATTACGGATGATCATCGTGTGGTGCCTAATAAATCCTTTGCGAGATTGTGGGTGGTTCTTCTTCATCGGATCTTACGTATTATCCTGTTGAGAAGAGTATAAAACCGAGAATATGTTTTCCCTTGGATGTTACTAAAGGTATGGCCAAATCCTTTCAATCGGTTCTTTATGGTTACTTTCTTGGCCCCCGACTTCCTTTCCCAATTGTTTTACGGGCTGTTCAGAATGCTTGGGGAAAATTTGGTCTAATAGATGCTATGGTCAATGATWTGGGGTACTTCTTTTTTCGCTTTAATGATGAGGGTGGGTGTAACCAAGTTATTGACGCTTCACCCCTTATGATTCGTGGGAGGCCGCTGTTTGTTTCTTTATGGGATCCTTCAAAGGGGCTCCAGAAGCCTGTGCACACGTCATGCCCATTATGGGTGAAGTTTTTTAATATTCCACTAGTAGCTTTCAATAAGGAGGGTGTTAGCCGCATTGCTAGCGCCATTGGTGTCCCGTTGCGTTTAGATGCATGTACTGCCTCCACATGTGATAGAGAATGGGGTCGTACGAACTTTGCTAAAGTGTTGGTGGATGTGTGGGCCGTGGGGGAAATGCAGAGGAACATAGAAGTGGTAATTCCAAGGCTATCGGGTACTGGAGAGGATATCATAAATGTTGTTTTGGAATATGATTGGGTTCCTTCCCAATGTTCAGCCTGTAATGTGTTTGGTCATCGAACGGGGTCATGTATGAAAGGGGATATTGCAAAGAAACGGGGGTCTGACATAGTCACGAATAAAAGGGGGTTCACAGAGATTAGGCGGAAACAGTGGAGGAAAAAGGATATATCAGCACGTACAGATTCTCAGGCAACATCATCTGGAGCGGTAACAGGTACACAGGAAACTATAACTGGGGTGGGTATTCTTAAAAGGGTTCAGGAGAGTTCAAAACCCTCGGGGAAGGATACAAATGTCAAACATATATCCAGCTCTGGGGCTTCTACGGCTTCTACGGTTTTGGAGGGATTGGATAAAGGATCTGTTGATGGACAATTCTGTACGGTAAATGCGGGACGTACACCAAGAGGACGAGAGGATATCTCAAATGGTCAATCTGTATTGAAAGGAAATCCGGAGTTAGTAAAAAAGGTGGTCCAAGCTTTTAAACCAAGGAGGGGAAAAGTTCTTGATATGACGAATAGCAATCGGTTTTCTTCTCTTTCTGACGAATCTAGTGATGATGATATGGAGGTCATTGATATGGAGGAGCGTTTAAGGGAAAAAAGAGGAGGGGCTGATCCACCTACTTTGTCTCAATGATAAAGTTGGCCGCTTGGAATGTTAGGGGCTTAAATGCCCTTATCAAACGTAAGGAGGTACGTGATTTTATTACTCTCAAACAGCTTTCTTTATGTTGCTTTATTGAGACCAAAGTGGTTTATAATTACTTGGGAGATGTCTGTAGTAGTGTATTTGGCAATTGGACTTGGATATCTAATGGTTCGGTCAGTGAGCAAGGTACTCGCCTCATTATTGCTTGGGACCCGTCGGTTTTATCTGTTCTTATGATTGAGCAGCATCATCAATTTATTCATTGTGAAGTTCGTATTTTTGGTCAATCCGAACCCCTTTTTTTCACGTTTGTTTATGGCTGTAATACGGGTACTGAACGGCGTGACCATTGGCGGGCTTTAGGGGAGTTTCATGCCTTCAGTCAGGGGAAAGCTTGGATTGCTATGGGTGACTTTAATTCGATGCTTTTCCCTCGTGATGGGTTGGGGGGATCATCCCGGAGGAATTCTGACATGGAGGATTTTCATACATGTCTGGAAGAGGCTGAATTATTTGATATTTCTTATCAAGGGTGTCAATATACTTGGATCCAGAAACCGGCGGGAGGAGAGGGTGTTAGTAAGATTATTGCTGAATTATTTGATCGTATCTTGGGCAATTCGACTTTTCTCTCTAGATTTGGGGATGCTTCGGCTTTTTTTGAACCTAGGGGGATTTCTGATCATTCTCCGGGCGTTCTTTCTTTTCGTGTTGGAAGACGTATACGACAACGTGGTTTTAAGTTTGACAACTTTGTCACCTCTCATAAGGACTTCCTTGTTTCGGTTGAGGAGGTTTGGTCGAAACCTCAGCATGGTTCTTACATGAAGAGGGTTCTACGGAAATTAAAAGATATAAAGGTGGTCTGTCGGCGTCTCCGTAATTCTTATGGATGTTTGGATAAGAGGGTTGTTCAACTTAAGACGGAGCTTGATATTGCGCAATTGGCTTGTGATCTTGATCCGTTTAATGATTTGCTGAAGGAGGACATCGCCCATCTCTTATTAGCATATCAAGAAGCTAGGAGTCATCAGGTGGAATTGGCTCGACAAAAAGCGAAAATATCTTGGCTAAATGAAGGGGATAGTAATTCAAAATTCTTCTTTCATGCTATGAAAGAAAGGCGCAATCGGAACCATAAAGCTATGAACAGGGACTCGAATGGTGTAATCTTTGAGAATCAGGAGGTATCAACGGCTTTCATTTCCCACTTTAAAGGGATYCTTGGTACCTCTAATAGTTTGGTTCCTTTATCTATGGGGGATTGTGTGTTTCGTCATGTTTTGTCTTTATCGGACTCTCTTCAATTAATTCGTCCAATTTCTGACTTGGAAATAAAGGATGCTTTATGTGCTATTGGAAATGATAAAGCCCCTGGCCCTGACGGATTTTCTTCTAAATTCTTTAAGTCAGCCTGGAATGTGGTTGGCAGGGATGTGCTTATTGGGTTACATAATTTTTTCTACTCTGGAAAATTGGAGTATGAGCTGAATSATACCCTCTTATGTCTTGTGCCGAAGGWCCCTAATGCCACTTGTGTTACTGAATTTCGGCCTATTGCTTGTTGCAATGTGTTGTTGAAGTGTATTAGTAAGATTATTGCTGAACGGATGAAAGGTTCGCTGGATGTTCTTGTAACTAAGGCCCAATATGCGTTCATACCTGGACGCCAAATCACTGATAACATCTTAATGGCTCATGAACTGGTTGCTGGGTATCAGAGATCGGAAGGTGAACCTAGATGTGCTTTTAAGATTGATATTCGTAAGGCCTATGACACAGTTGAATGAAACTTTCTTTTAGAGATGCTGACGGGAATGGGTTTTCACCCAGTTATGATAAACTGGATAAAGACTCTGATCACGACACCCTCTTATTCCATTTGTGTTAATGGACAGCCGGAGGGTTTTTTTCTTGGTAAACGGGGATTTCGACAAGGCGATCCTCTCTCCCCTTATCTGTTCACTGTGGTTATGGTGGGTCTCTCGATGCTTCTTTCGAAGTGTATTGAGGAAATGGCTAGTTTTTCGTATCATCACGGTTGTACGGATATTAAATTGACTCATTTGTGTTTTGCTGATGACTTGTTTATTTTTTCTAAAGGAGACATTTCTTCTGTGGAGGTTATTAAACGTGGCTTACAATTGTTTGAAGAACGATCGGGCTTAGCGCCAAGTCTGGAGAAGAGTAAAGTGTTCTTCGGGAATGTGTCAATGGAGGATCAGTGCCGAATTCGTGAGAGTTTATCTTTTCGGCCAGGGGTATTCCCTATTCGCTACTTAGGCGTTCCTCTTTCTCCGGTTCGTCTAAAGGTACGTGATTTTAATCCCCTTGTGTTAAAGATTAAATCTCGTTTGTTAAATTGGAAGAACAAATTCCTCTCTTATGGAGGGCGTCGTCAACTCATTATCTCTGTTCTCCAATCGATGCAAACGTTTTGGATGTCGGTGTTTCTTGTCCCGGCAGCTACGATTCATGAAATAGAGAAGCTCTTTCGTAATTTTCTATGGAGTAAAGCGGAGGGACAGAGGGGTAAATGCAGGGTTGCTTGGGATTCTATTTGCTTGCCTGTTCAAAGTGGGGGACTTGGTTTGAAAAAACTTGCGATCTGGAATAGGTGTCTCCTGTTCAAACATATTTGGGATATTTTGAGGGAAAGAAATACGATGTGGGTATCTTGGATTCATTCTCACTGTGTTCGGGGC